GTCTGGCGGAGACGGCACGTTACCTCAGTATCATCGAGGGCCTGGACAACGCCGACCCCCTCCGCATCCGCCTGGTTTCGCACCTGAACAGCTACGCCTCCCAGAAAGAAGCTCATTCGAGTTTGGGCCACTTGGCGTGGGGCTCTGCGCTTGGGACGCCGTCCGGACATCTGGCTCACCACCTCCTCCTGCAGCAGCCGCGCAGCACCAGCAGCCCTCCATCCTCCAGTTCTTCATCGCCCTCCTCCTCATCTCCATCCGCCTCCTCCACAGAGCCGCATGCCCCCAGCAGGCTGACTGGCACAGTGATTAGTGAGGCAGGGCTGACAGGACCACTGCGGGTGCCGCCCAGTACCTCCCTGCACCCTGGGCTCACACCACCTACTACATCCAAGCTTTCTCCACCCCTCCTGACTTCACTTTCGAACCTGTCGGCGTTTCCCATCCCACTGAGCGCATTTCCTCTGCTGTCCCCGAGCTTGCTGGGCCCCGCAACTCCCTCCAGCAGCCTGGGGAAGCCCTACAGGCCTTGGAGCATGGAAATAGGGGCATTCTGAACTCAAAAACATGAACGCTGTGGACAGACAGTCAGTTAGAAATGACTTATTTTCTGTAACATCTGACCATTTTGAAGAGATGGAAAGAAGACCACAGACTTGTACAAAGGGAAAAAGCGAATACAGATCCGGTGTACTTATTCCTATTACCCTGTCTTTTAAAACTGTCCTGTCTCGGTTTGAGCAGAGATGAGTTCTGGAGATGGTCGGGTTCTCGCACATCATTTTTTAGCAAAACTAGTTCTTTTTTCCCTCAGTGGAGCAAGGTATGCTAATAGAGAGAGAGAGAGAGGTAATTTGGAGCTAAAGCAGATGATATGCATCACTGAATGGGTGTTAATGGAGTTAAACTCAAACCAGATGTCCATTTAAAGGGACAGTTCACCCCTTCAGGTAAAGCAAATGATGACAGAATTGTTTTTTTTTTTAGGTGAACTATCCCTTTAATTATGTTAAAGATGGTAAAGGAGTGCTTTGATCACATGAAACATATATTTGCATCCTAAATCATCTCCTTCAGAATAAAAGGCAGGATTTGTAATGAGAATGAATGAATTTGAGAATGAAATCAGACTTATTTTTTTAGGAAATCTGTTCAGCGTTTCCATGAAATTGAAATACTATGCAATGAAGTTGACATTGATTTTTGCAGTTTTCCCTCTGCACATTTATATAAAGCTATGCAACTGAATCTGTATTAGTCAGCTGAACTTGATGAGTACTTTATTTTTATAAAGATTTTAAGTCATTTTGGTCAGTGACCTGCGGTGTGTGTTTATTTGTTTAAAATGTTATGAATTTGTTGTTTGCAGGGACAGACCACTGTTAAACCTTTACAGAGACAATCTAGATAGACAATCTCTCAAAACTGCACTAATTTAACTGTAGCAAAGGCACTCTTGGGTTTGTTCGTGTAGTAGAGTTGTTTGCTCACATGCATATGTTCCCCCTTCATGCAACAAATCATCTCTCTCGCTCTCTTTTAGTTAACTGTACTTGAGGAGTGTTTTGGAAAACCAGATCGTTTTGTGGTAATAGGGAATTTGCACTGGCAAATCAGATGAGACTAGGGGAATAGATAGTACTGGAAGAGATGGTGTGGTACTGTGCCTGTCCCTCACTAACCTGTGTGATTTTCCTGTAATAAAATGATAAGTGTAGCTAATAACCCTGGACTTGTGTGTTCATGTCCTGTTTTTATTTTTTGACATTGTCATTGATACATTCAAACAAATGCGAATATAGTTGTCCCATAACACTTATCAGTCAATATTAGAGATCTTTTACAATTAATAAAAATGTTAAATGTAATTTTTAAACAACTAATGAAAAGAAAAACACATTTTCATACTGTTCATTAAAATTTTTGATGCATAGATGTAGTTCAGCATTTAATATTCATAAATTCAGCATTTAAAATGCATTTAAATTTTTTTTATTTCAAATTGCTGCATTTTTGACAAATCTCAAAATGAATATCTATTTTTCATACTGTACATTTTACTGTCGCGATGCATAAAATCAAATGCAGTATCTAAAATTATTGGTTTTAGTTTTTTTGTGTTTTATTTTTTACTTATTTGACATTTATTTAGATAATAAATGTATTTAATTTTATAATGAATATAATTATAGTGTAATTTTAATATAATTCGTTTTTTTTTTTATTGGCCATTACATAAAAATAATTATCAGCTTATTTGCATCACCCAGAAATTTAAAATAGATGCATTTTTGATAAGTCTCAAAATTAATATCTATTTTTTTATTCTGTACATTGTGTATATAATGTTGTGATGCATAAATTAAATTCATTTTAAATTATTGGTTTTAGTTTATTGTGTTTAATATTTTATTAATTTGAAATTAATTTAGATAAAAAAGATTTAATTTTACAATTAATTATAATATAATATTTAATTAATTATAATATAATTTTAACGTTTGGCCATTTTTAATTATTGGCCATTGCATAACAATTATTATCATTTTATTGGCATAAGCCAGAAATTTAAAACTGGTGTGTTCCCAATCAAAATGATTACACATTTTTTGTTACAAAATGACAGACATCTAAATCAAAATGTTGTTAGGGCAAACCTAACAGCCTGAGAACTTTATATGTAAACAGTCAAAGAAAACTACATTCATGATTTTATCGTCCGGAATTGTTGGCGTGTTTGAAATGTTCTAGTCACCCTCGCTCTTCACAGGTGGATATACACAAATAAGCCTTACATGTGATTTAATGCTTTGGGGATGAATAGTTCCTTTCATGCCAGCGAGATGAGGCACTGCACATTTCTATAGGGCTTGAACCAGTGTCTGTATGCGTGTGTTTTAAATGGATATCAAACATGGCCCAAGGGCCTCTCTGTGGCCTCTCTATGTATCCAGGAAGCCATTAACAGCCAAGGGATATCCTGGACAATGGCAGCCTGGCTGGCCTGGACTGCACAGGGAGGAAAGAGAGAGGTATAGAGAGAGAAGAGAAGGAACGAGAGAGATGGAAAAGTGGGAGGAGAGGGCCGCACAGTGCAGCTTTGTCCCAAAGCAATCACAGCATCTCACTGAGCTCCTGGTGTGGTGCACTCCCACGCCACCACGGGTACTGTGACTGCCAGCCAAAGCCGTAAGACAGATTCCCACCTACACACAGCACTCTGCCAACACAACTCTTTATTTCTCTAGCTACTGTTAAATCTATTTTAGAGGCTTTTATCGCAAGTTTTTCCACTCATCCAACATTCAACATGAATGGTCCAGAAATAATTCACAAATTTTCTCATGACTCATCATTTGTTTGAAGCTTTTACACAAAACTGATTGCAAAATTAAGTATGTCCAAGATGATGGCTGGATGCCACTCACTGAATTAAACACAGGTATTGTCACATAATTAGGTCAAGCAAAGACAATGTATGTATATGCATATATTTTCATATCTGTTTCATATATTTAAAAAAACTAAAAAATAAAATAAAAGGCAATATATGCTGTGCATATGCAGTAATTCTGCACAACTAAAACTACTGTACTATCTAACAATAACTAAGGCCATGTTTGAAATCGAATACTAACTTAGTATTAATTCATGTTTTCTTGCAAAGTCATGTGTTGCCATCTGTTGGTAAACTAGGGTATTACACTTCAGGCAGTTTCACACATGGCTATGTTTATTCGCTTTTAGTGGCCTACAGAAGTGGTTCTCAAACCTCTCCATGAAGTACCCCCAGCCCTGCACATTTTGTATGTCTTCCTCATCTATCACACCTGATTCAACTCATCAGCTCATTAGTGGAGACTGCAAGACCTGAAGTGGGTGTGTCAGATATAGGGAGACATACAAAATGTGCAGTGCTGGGGGTACTTCATGGAGAGGTTTGAAAACCACTGGCCTACAGCATAGGTGCTAAACTTGAAGTGGAATTATGTGTTTATGTTAATGTATGTTGTATGAAATAAAAATGGAGCCAAAGACAGATACTCTCATTTCAAGAACCCCAAGCCTTTATTTACCACAGCTTATGCTCTCAAAGTTACATGTGTGAAGGGAATAAAACACACAGCTGGAAGAGAAAGATGAGGGTGGGCAGGTTTGTGACATTAAAGCCACTTGCACATGGCACATGGTAACACCGTCCAACCACACTGCTCTTGACACACACACATTTACACATGGCATCCATTTTTATCACCTGAAATCCCCCTCTGAAATCCCCTAAATCTTTGAAGAATCAGAATTGAGAACTTAAAGCGATTCTCGGGAATTTAAGGTTAACTTGATGCTACGCGTCAGCAACAATGCAACCCAGACTATGGTCAAACACGGGTCGAGAGACGTCACATGACTTCGGTGTGGCTCAAACCACAGCTCCTCTTAAGCAACGTGTCATTTTTTACTGAAATCATGCTGACTGGGTTCATATAAGTGTGTGTGTCTGTGTGTTGTGACTATATACCAGATGAATGTATGAAGAAAGAGCTAAAGATTGTTGTAAATGCAATGATAGTGACCGGTTAAAGCTGTGTGTACTGTAGTGACGGCTTTTACTCTTTCCACATGGACATAGAGACACTAAAATGATTGTTGGGTTTAGAGAAGACATTGCTAGCCAGCAAACTCACAAACACTAAAGCCTCGTACAAGAGAAACTGTAGCGGATCTGATAGAGAGAGAGCGAGAGAGAGAGGAAACAAGTACATCCACTAAAAGAGAAAGATTCAGAGAGAAACTTATAAAATGGCACACCGCAATACTTTTAATCATCTCATATAAAACAAATAGGAAGTATTTACAAAAAACCACACCCACTTTGACTGGTTTCAAATTGATCAAAAACATTTGTTTTTTCTGGAGTAAATGGAGTTCCTTTTGTCTTCTGGACTATATCAGGGAGGATGCTGTTGGTGAGGGGGGCAGGGTCGATTCCCTTCGGTGATGGGACAGAGGGTCTAGAGAGATGTGCTCATGCTGTCAACTCTTCCCTCAGCTCTTTGTTTCTGCGCACCTCCTGAGCGTGCTTCTCCTAAAAGCACATAGAGAAATAATACACCAAATTAACATAAACATTACAGTTTATAGTTTAAAGATGATATACTGTTGATTAAAATAAACAACATTTATATTTTAAAATGCTTTTGGTAGCACTAGTGTCCTTTACAATGCAATGTTTTTATTGAACTGTAGCGCCCTCTTGTGACAGAAAATCAGATTAGATTTTTATTTATTTATTTTATTCATTTATTGATTGATTGATTGGATGAAGAAAATTATGCCATGATTTTTTTTTTTTTTTGCTTGTTTTATCTTCTATCTTGTAAAAATCACAATGTCAGATAACTTTTCACGGTTACAGCATTCCAGTTTCTCAAGAAGTTTTTAAAATCGGTGGTATTGTACATGTCGGTAGCATAAAAATAGTGTGGGATAAATTATGCATTTAGTTGTAATATCTGTGTTTTTTTTAATTCACATTACTAAGCCTAAATGCTAAATCGAAATAAATGCTGTTCTTTTGAACTTTCTATTCATCAAAGTATCCTGAAAAAAATGTATCACTGTTTTCACATAAAATATTAAACAGCACAACTGTTTTCAACATTTATGATAATCAGAAATGTTTCTTGAGCAACAAATCAGCATATTAGAATGATTTCTGAAGGATCTTGTGACACTGAAGACTGGAGTAATGATGCTGAAAATTCAGCTTTGCATCAAAGGAACAAATTACATTTTAAAATACATTGAATAAAGAAATAAGTTTATTTAAATTGTAATAATATATTACAATATTACCCTGTTTTGTACTGTTTTGACTGTATTTTTGATTAAATAAATGCAGCATAAGAGACTAATATGTACCTTCTCATGCAGTCGTTCCAGCATTGCTGCAATGTGGGTGTCACGGTTCTCCTTGATCTGCTCCATCTTCATGATGAGTTTCTCCTCTGCCATCCTACTGAAGTTGCTGTTCTCCTCCATGGCTTTCAGCAGGACGTCCCGCTCATGCTCACGTTTCTCAGCCAGGGCCCTCAGGACTTGAGACTCCTGGGACTGGAGAGGAAGAGTGGGGCAGAGTCATAGGAATCAACTGTTTATCAATTCACATTACATAAAAGTGTAAAAACTTAAAATAATAAAAATAAAATGGCAAACATCAAACATAAGTTATATACTCAGATATAATACAAATGAATGGGTAACTCACTCTCCTCCTTTCCTCTGCTGCCTCCAGCTTCTTCTGGATGTCCTCCAGGGACATGTCCCTCTTTTTGGGAGGTGTAGTGATGCTGTAGGAGCCATCAGCCGTGGGAGAGGGTGGCTTCAGGATGACCTCAAAGGCCTGGCCAGAAGCCCGCTTGTTAATGGGCTTAACCTCCATGTCTAAACACACAAGACATAAAGTGAAATAAATGCAGTGTAGAAACTGCAGTATGTCAGGCAGCAAATATTCATCTACACATTGGTGGAGTTTGAGCATCCAGATCCATCCAATAAAATGCACCAATTGCCTTCAGCTCATGAAATGAGCTTGAATTACTTATACAGCCATTCTGAACATTTATCAGACATTTATTTATCTATATTAGCTGTTAAGATAATAAATGTGTAGTATTGCTGGTACACATACAGGCCAATAAAAAGTTATATTATGAAGATCAGACAGAATGAGCACTATAAAGCACAGCATATTGTTGTAAATTCCTTCTACACAACTTCTCATTACTGGTATTATATTTTCATTTCCTACCCTCAAACTCACCCATGATGTTCTTGCGTGCCTCTGGGTAGAGACAGGAGCAGATGAGGGAGACGAGGGACAGCTCCTTCATCTTCTCTTTGTATGCTGCAGGGAGACACATCAAATAAAGTATTGACCCAGATTCTCTCTCACTGTTTTGAATGAATGATGAATGATTTTTTGAAACTGCATCGTTAAAGGGATAGTTCACCCAAAAATGAAAATTTGATGTTTATCTGCTTATAGACCAGGGGTACACTGACTAAAATTTTAGTAGTGAGACTAATGTAAAACATAAAATTTTAGCAGAACAAGAAGTGAGAAAAATATGAAATATGTAGCTAAAGAATCATATTGGAATATATTTAGAATTTAAATTTAAATTTATATTTAGAATTTTAATTTAAATTAAAACTACATTATATATATATAAGAAATGCAAATGAAAACTACATTAAAATTATTAGTAGTATTATTATTACACATATAAATTATTCTACATATTATGGTATAGATAGATAGATTGAAAGCTATATATATATATATGTGTGTGTGTGTGTGTGTGTGTGTGTAAATTAATATATTTTATAAATACATATATTAATGTTTGATATAATTATGATATTATTATTATTAAGTAGTAGAGGGTCTCTGGTTTGGCTAAGAGTTTGGGGGGGGGGGCCATTGAGTCCAAAAGCATTAAATAAATAAATACATGAATGAATGAATGATTGAATGAACGAACAAACGAATGACTGAATGAAGCAAGTCTCAACAGCACTCTGAGAAAACCAAGACCAGAGAAAACCCAAGGCCAGACAAGACCAGATGGTGGTTTATGACGGCTACATTGATCCTACCACAATCATTCCTCATCCCCAAATTCAGAATCATTTTTCTTTTTCAGCATTAAATGCTTACGGGCAAACAAACCTAAATCATACAAACATCAGTGATGGCAGATGCTAAATGAAGAACATTAATGTATCTGATTTTTTTTAACACACAAGGCAGCATTTATCAAGGCCAGTGCGCTGTGTTGATGTTATCAAACCGTGAATGCTTGTGGTTTTTTCAGCTAGATTTCAAACTGCTTTTATCCTTTCCAGCATCAACCTACTTTCTTCACTCTCTGCCCAGAGGAGCCTGGAAAAATCTGATCAACTCCTTCTTGCTCCCTGACGAGGTTATCAATCCCTCACAAACAGAGGATGGAGAAAACCGGGAAGGGAAGAAGTGAGAATTTTGGTGAAGGGGACTTTAATTAGTAATTACCTGAGCAAGCCATTTCTTCCGGTAAATTGAGGGGATGGCGATGGATGTTTAGTGCTGTGATATTGAGTGTTCCCAGACCTTGTAAGCATTTCTCTCCTGCTGTCTAGTCAGAGTGAGATCAGGACGATAGACAGCTCACTGAAGCAAGTAATTCAGGTCAGCCGGCTGGAGAGCAGGTGAAAAAGATCTCACACAGACGACTGCATCTGTATGTGTGCAAAACTGTGATCTAATCAAGAGTTTTTGCTGTAAAATATCAGAGGGTTTGTAATTAGAAAAGAGTATTCGCCGCCTGCAGACCACACCCTTGGCTTGAAATGTAGATATTGTGGCAACTGGTCAAAAAATACATTGTATGAAAATAAAAATTGATATTTTATATATAGATATACAGTATATGTGTGTGTGCGCGTGCATGTGTGTGCGTGTGTATGTGTATGTATGTACTGCATATACTGTAAGTCTATATAAGATAATCTAATATTAAATTTACAAATAATATATACATTTAATTTACTTATAATTTTTACATGAAGTAAATTTTTTGTCATGACTGATTCTTCTATATCATACTTTTAAGCACAGGTTACATATATATTATACATACTATTATAAAATAAACATAATATTACATTATTTTATGAGTATACATCTCTCTCTCTCTCTCTCTCTCCCCCTCTCTAGTTTATTTATAAATGTTAACATACTATTCATTTTTACGTTAAGCAATCCTAATTCTCTGTGCTTTATTCTGACTGATTCTACTATCATGCACTACAGTGATACAGACCATGTCTTGCACCACCACTAAATATGAAGCAGAATAAAAACACACATTGCTCAAAAATTGCCATCAGGCTCTACAAGCAAAACGTCCTTTGTGTGGTTTATTTGATAATGCATCAGCATGCCCACATTGGAAATCAATAATGGCCCCTCCCATGGCCGTAGCCAGGGTTTGAAAATTAGTGCGGTCTGGGGTGGGGTTAAGAATTGTGCAATAATAACCCCTACAAATACAACTCATTATATACACTAACACTTTAGATACAGACATGTAGATGTTTGTGAAAGATGTTTTATCTGTTTTGGAGGGATTGGAGGTAACATTGTACCAAAATTATACTATATTTATTGCATCAAATTTTTTTATATTTTACTATAGGTTAGGGGTGGATAATTTTATCAGTTGTTTATTATTCATGCATCAATACATATTACTTTTATAGTTTTCATTAATAACCATTGCTATATAATAACTTTGTCTAGTGCTCTTATGAATGTTTTTAGCATGACTGAAAATTTAACTACTATACTGAAAGAAATAAAATAGACTTCTTCATGGCTAGTGTTTGCATATTTCATAGCCTACTAGTGTTAAATGCTACTGTTTTATAAATAAATAAACACTCATGAGGAGTTTTAAGTAGCAATACATCTCGTCATTCAGAGAACAAATGTTATTTCTGAACATGAAAAATACGGGCATGCTCCCACCTCCCTCTTTCTCTCTCTCTTTCACACACACACACACACATATATGCTCAGTCCATTGTCTCTCTCTATATATATATATATATATAATTATTATGTATATATACATTATTATATTATTATAATGTCATATAATTGACATTAAAGCCTAAAAATGTCATTAATCTTAAACTGCAATGCCCGCACCCCACTGTTGTGCAGCATTGCTGAATGTGTATATTTGAACTTCCTGTTAGGTTAACGATTAATGGGGCTTGACTGCATTAATACCGCCTTCACATATCCAGTAATCACAGATGATAAATTGAGGTTACGTGAGGATATCTATAAAGTATACAGGACAAAGGTAGGCACCTGGCAGCTCTGGTTTGATATATGATATGCATTTCTGACAATGATATTGTGGCCAATTATCCAATCATTAATTAAAATGCTCAATTAAGAGTCTAATTAAATAAGCCATGCTTTTAGATGAGACATAATGAGAGAGCTGATTATGCATAGATTAAGACCTAATTTTCTTATTTTGAGGTATATATAGTGCTGACAAACACACCAAGGTCTTTCTGCAGGCTCTTTTAAGCCCTATAAATATTCCAGGTGTATTGATTATATTGATTGACATGTTCTTTCTCATTAGTGGGAGGATTCCCACAGGCATTTGTCGGGGCATTTTTTGTATGTTCTGTGAAATGAAATAAAATATCCTAAAGACACATCTCCGTGTAATTACATTGCATGGTAGGATTAAGTGCACATAACTGGTTTTCCACAAAATAAATGTCTCTCCAAGTTGTCATTTAACATTTTAAGTGAGATGACAGCGAGACATTCAGCCACTGTCCACCAGTGCCCTACCCTGCAGGTGTCTCACAAAGATGCGATAAAGACGCACACCTTGTATATGGTATGCCCCAGTTTGGCCGTCTACAACATAATCCAGAATCACAACAGCACTGAGACATGCTTACCGGCGAGACGACTTGAGTCCTGACACACATTTAAAACATCAATCATCTGATACTGCAGTCTGCCACTCATATGGTGCTAGAAATGGTGTGAACGAAAGGATGCACATGCAAATCCACAATTACACCTTAAAAACCTGTGTTTAATGAGCAAGGAGTTTTTTTATTATTATTATTATGAATCGGGTTAAATATAAACACGTGACATGTGCTGGTAGACTGTATATGTCACAAGAATACATTGAAGGTGAGAGAACAGATTTTTATTTTACCATTATAAATGTGATAAAATAAAAACGCAGCCAGTGTAGTCTTTAATAAACTCACCAGCTAATGAGTCATGCTCCCAAATCTGTGAAAAACCACTGACGATAAACCAATAACCAGCCTATCATTTGTGATAATTGGCAATTTTGATAAGACAGAATTTTGTCTATATAATAAACATACCCACAATGATAAAAAAAAAAAAGCTTTTTCAAACACCCTGATTCATTAACTACCATGCTGTATTTCCCTATTTTGGCATTGTTTGGCAAAAAAATATACCAGCCACACCTTGCACATTTTATAGAAAGGATAGAAATATCATGTATGGAGGATGTCAAAAGGTTTAAACTGTTCCGAGTCAGGTATTGCAAGGCTTCACAGGGTTTTCTGAAGGCTGAAACAGAGCTGGATCTTGGGTGGGGTCCTTCTGCATTATGCTGGAGATGCGTGAGCCGGCAGGTGCACTGTCACCATAAGAAAATCATTTTAAGGCTTTTAAAGCATGGTCCAGTGTATTTTAAGAGGTATGCACTATAATGACACCCTTTAATGCTTTTTCCTCATTTATAAAGTCCCCCTTTTTCTAAGCAAAGTGAGTAGGCAGCCTGGGTGCACACAAAATGCACAGCCATATTTGAAAATAAAACAGCATGGGGTGGAAGGAGAAAGCAGATTTATATATCTGAATATATATCTAAAATATATTTATTTCCCATCTAACGGACTTCTTTTTTTCCTGCATCAAGGTCTATTGTGCGCGCGACAGCATCTCTCAGCATCAAAGAGACACGGACCGGCGAACAAAATGAAGGAAGGTTTGTCTTACCGATCGCAGTTTTGGCCATGGCTGGAGTTGTTGCGGTGACTGATGCGTCTCGGGTCTGTTCGGTGGCGAGGAACCGGTTCACTCTAAAAAGGTACTGAGTCAGCAGAACGGCGCTCTGAGGAAAAGAGTGCGCGAGAGAGAGCAGCTTGGGGAATGGTGAGCGCGCGTGTGTTCAGTCAGATAGGCTGCTGTTGTCCCTTCATGCGCAGTTCCAAGTGAACGGCTGTCGCGCGCCCGATCTAATGTACAGGAGGTTGTCAACGGTGAGGAGCTTACAAGGTGACTAATTGTGTATCCCCCCTTTTTCAGCAGTGGTGCAACCCGTTCATGCACAGCTCCCATTGATTTATAATCATTTTATATGGTAGGCTACATCAGAAGACGGTGGTTACTGGAAGCGCTGGTATCATTGTATACAGTAAACTACATGAAGCACGAATATCTTTTAAGGATTATTTTATCTGAATAGCTAGCTGTCTGTCATCACTGCATCAACTGCATGAAGCTCCATCTTCCTTCTATTAATAGCATTCATAATTCGTATATAAACCATTCGTGTATATATAATACGTTGCGCACTTTTTTTAAATAATTCATTTTACATACATTTGGGAAGACATGGTGGTAGCTACAGTAAGAATGCCAAAGCAGCACTGGGACACTGAGTGCCCCTCCCAGCACTATCAAGGGTCCCATGAGATTAAATGGCTTTCTTGATGCCTTTATGTGCATCAAATGTCAATATTATTTTAGTTATTGGTAAATAATTTAATTACAATTATTACAATGACTTTAGAACATTTTAAAATATGTTTAGCAATATTTAATGATTTGATTAATAATAAATAAATAAATAAAATACAAAATAAAATAAAAATTAATTAATTTAGCAGCAGACAGGACCTTGATAGCATGTAGCTGAAGATAACCTAAAAACGTGCCAAAGTAATTCTTGGTGTAGTACAGCTATAAGTGCATAAAGAAATACAAAATTATGAAATTCTTCTTTATCTATTATAAATATCCCCATGTAGTCCCATTTAGCCATGATTTATCACTACATGAACATGCACATCCAGTTCCCCTTAGAAATGCCCATTGCAAGATGCAAGCATCAATTATGAAGGAAGCAAAGACTGCACAATAAATAATAAAAGTTCTAGTGTCTGACCAAAGTGGGTTAGAAATTGCACAGCAGTACATGAAGGATAGCATGAGTTAGCATTACTAGACAGAGGAGACCTCTGTAATATTTTACATTGTAGCTAGATTAAATAGGACTCGTTTACATTTCAGAGGCAAACAATCCTGCAATCTCTTGATTGAAATAATAATACAATATTATTTTCATGTTTTATTTATTATAGCTTTTTATGCTCCTAAACTGAAGCCTAAACTAAAGCCTAAACCTTGTACTGATAGGCTATCAGTAAAAGGTTTAGGCTTCAGTTTATCGTATCAGTGATAGCTTACTATCAGACATGTCAGCTCAGGGTCACGCCTAAAGATTCACGATCAAAGGACTGCACTGCATTATCATTTTCAACCACATGGCGGCATTAGATCCTTAATTAAGGAAACATCAGAGCCTATTATAACCAAGTGCAAGGCTTTATTTACAACATTTCATCAGAAAAAAAAAGTTCTAAGATAAGACAAAATGGTATGTATGTTCAGAGGACAAATTGGTTTATCAGTGCAGCACTAATCTTACAGCTGCTGTTGGCTATGCTGAATTACTTAAACGTTTAAAAGGACAAAGCCAATGAACCAGATATCTGAAGTCATTTATTAATCAAAAGCGTTTCCTTAATGAATTTAAAATGAGTTTCGGTTATGCTTGAATAACACTTCTGTATAAACGCTGCATAGTTTTCAGATATGGTCATTGGGAAATTTTAATATAAAGAGCAGCGAGAGGATTACTTTAAATGTGAGAAATAGTTTCAGTAAAGTTCATGGTTACTCTTTAACTAGAAGAGACCTGAGCCAAACTGAGGCTCTGTTATGTTTCCAGCATAGCAATGATCAAGAATGCATTGTACTCACAACACAAATAAGCAGGGAAAGCAACAGCTTTGAATAAATTAATCCTACACAAATCTCTTTTAAAACCAGTTGCTTAGTTCATGAAAAAGTTCACACTGTAACATCTGACAGCTCCTTATTTCTGCTTTAGCTAGGCTGTTTAGAATAGAAATTATTTGCCTTATTGAACAGCTGAGTGAGCAGAAGCACAAACTCACATCAATAATAAACTGGCTGTGAATTTCAAGAAGTTAAATCCTTGTGCACTTTCTATAAATACAGTAAGTGCAAACTTTTGTTGCCCAAGTAAAAAAATAAATAAATAAAAACCTTTAAAATGCAGATTTTGTGTTGTGGTGACTAAATTTAATAAACTATTATTAACATACCATGAAATGTTAAAAATGTAAACATACCAAATATTGTTTTAAACCTACCACCACCACCCAAATGGTGATTTTGACTCAGAAGTCTTGAGCGTCGCAACTGTATCTAACAATAAAAAATAAAAACAATTATATGACTTGACGTTATGATCATTTAATTGACATGTTCTCATAATTTAAAGTTAAAATGTAGATTCATAAAATAACTAGACAATTCAAATAATATATTAAAGGTTACAGACATAAAACACAATGCAATGAAGTGCAAAATAAAAAAAAAACAGGTAAAACATTTTTTTAAATCCTGTAAGAAAATTACTTTATATACATACAGTACACCAACTACATATGAATAATTTTCTAAATACCCCACATCATTAGGCACAAATAAAACCTCCAACAAATCATGTTTTCCCACCTCAGGCATTAAAGACCTTTTATTATTTTCAGTTTTCTTCAGCTTTAGACACCTTTTTTTCTCAACCCCGTTACGGATAAAATGGGATTGGTTTAAAAAGGATTTTACACAGAAATTGTTATAAAACAAACAGGTACCTACTACTCATGTGCCCCTGATAACAATTTAATGATAACAAATGTAACATTTATCATCATTTTCACATTTTTATAGGACTGAAGCTAAAAATACACAAATTGTGTGTCATCTATCTCTATTTTTGTAAAAAAAATATATCTATTTTTCATTTAAAATTTGAGCTAAAACCACAATTTTATTGTTTTAGCCCTTAACATGCCAGGTGGTAATCAGCAAGAAATACTTTTGTTCTTAACTGTCTTCCCTATATTTTTCTAAAAATATTAATGTGACAAGGTGTGACGGTTGAAAACTGTAACACATTTGAAGGGATACATTGCCTTAAATTTAAATTTTTGGTTTTGTTTCTCTCTCGTATTGTCCCGTTGTTTCTGGGTCAACATATCTGCATGGCCAACATTGTCTTTCTGCTGCAAATGTGGGTGCAATTTATGATTTATGATGCTTGTCAACGTTTAAGTGGACATATTACATCTTTTCAGTTTTTTTTCAGATTTAGACACCTTTTATTCTCAACCTTATAAAAGGACAAAATGGGATTAGTTTAAAAAGGATGTTACACAGAACCTGTTATAAAACAAACATACCTACTGCTCATGTGTCCCTGATAACAATTTAATGATAACAAATGTAACATTTATCATAATTTTCACATTTTTATAGGACTGAAGTTAAAAATAAACAAATCGTGTCTATGGTCTCTTTATTTTTGTAAAAAATATATTTAATTTAGATGTTTAACTAAAACCAACTAAACTAAACTAAACTAACTAAAAAGTTTTATTGTTTTAGTCCTCAACATGTCAGATGGTAATCAACAAGAAATGCTTTCATTCTTAATTGTCTTTTTCCAAAAATATTATCAATATTACAAATGGACAAATAAAATAGATAACTTATGTTTAGTTACTTTATGTAGATTTGTTTGTTTACATTACTTACATTCATCTAAAGCAGTGTACAAAAAAATTCTCACTGTTGTCTCTATACAAGTGGCCATCTTGCCAATAACATCTCGTTTTGACATCTTGCCTGGTTCTGTGTGATTTGGACAACTTCAAGTTACGCCCCCTTGTTCATTTAAAGTCGGTTTTTTATAAAAACAGAAATAAATGCTTACTTTATTGCCAAAAATTATAGACACTGTGCACATTTGTTAATAATTTTCTAAGTACAAACTCAGTGAAGTGCCTCAGGGACATGACAAAATGCTTGGTGTAAGATATAAATAAGACATTATTTTATGCTAAAAATTATTTAAATGCAATAATTCTTTTTATTCATTATAATGGGCATACCAATGTATTGTAAAAAAAAAAAAAAAAAAAAAAAAACTTTTAAACCAAATAAATGTTTAGTAATTTAATTAATTAAAGTTTTTATACCAATAAAGTTATATTAGTGAGAAAATGTAGCATTTTGCTTTGTTTTGAGGTGACATAGTTACGTGTTACATTTACATTTATAGTTTTAACAGTAAATGATGCAATTATTTAAATGCAATAATTCTTTTTATTCATTATAATGGGCATACCAATGTATTGTAAAAAAAAAAAAAAAAGAAGCTTTTAACACTTCGTTTTAGTGAACTACCACTTTTAAAGTCGGTTGGACTGAAATATTACCGAATCCCAGGAATGACCCATTTACCAGTCAACAGCGTTGGGCTGGTGGAGATGAAGGTGGAGGAGGAGGATGGCCTAAAGGTAGTGAGGGAGGGGAAGGCTGTAGTATTACTGCTGGACGATGTCATCACGAGTCACCACCTCTCTCACAGCTCCACGTCCACTCATCACATCCACGCACGCACATGGTCCAGCTCCCTTCACTAAGAACAGGTGAGATCTGATGAGTCGTTTACTTAAACTTGATATTTCACACTCCAAGCTCAACCGCGTCAGTTGGTAGTAGTGTTAACTTAGCAGTGTGAGTGCAGAGGCGCGTCACACCGCTAATACCACATAAGCTAACAGAAGTGGATGTGAATGGTGGCATCAGAGATGTTTTCTTATCTTTTTATCCTATAGAGGAGAACTTATTCTTAGTTTTGAAGTCAAGTTATATTGAAATTATGAAGTTTGACGGGAAATCGTGAGATTGGTAACTTAAATAGGGTGACCATACGTGCCATTTTCCCCGGATGCGTCCTGGCCAGGATTTCTATATCGCTTTGATTCAAAGTACCTCGACAGCGTTTCGAAAACACAAGGAACCGATGTCATACACCGATCGGTCTGCACACGCAAACAAAGCCAAACCCTAGACATTTAGGCAATATAGAAATCCTGGCCAGGACGCGTCCGGGGAAAATGGCACGTATGGTCACCCTGAACTTAATCATGTTTCAAGACCTAACCTGAACAACGTGTTATTGACTTCCTCTAACGAAGCTCGTGCTGAAAATTATGTTTTACGTTAGACGGATAGCTGATAAAGAGACGTGTTTTACCGACCATATAGAGATGATGTCTTCATAAAACAATATTTAATAGTTAAGTACTCACAAAACATTAGCAGGATGCTGGTGTTGGCGCGAATCGAACATATAAACCCGGGTACAGAATGTTTATAGAAGCGAGCAGAAGCTTAAAATATCAATATTTTACAATAATAATGAAAAACAGTAATAATTAAAAGGCGAATTATCACCGAGGAAATGTTTTATGTGTTCGATGGTTATACTTTTACAACCAGCAATAGATTAGTGGATCTTCCAGGTGTATTTAAGTACCGGTATGTATCATCTGTGTACACATGTAGGCTACATCACTTTCTGAGTAAATTTAAAAGATTGGTTTGGAGGATTATATTCTGAAAAGTAGATGTATATGATTCAGATTCACAGCTGTTGTAATACTCTTGCATACATTCAGAATAGTTCAGACATGCGCATTTTGTTCCTTTAATTCTCGCTGGAAATGCAGCATAATAAATTGTAATCAACTAAAAAACTATTCTCATGAATGTTCTTAACAATGACGTACATGAGTGCATCAAATTACATAAATTAAGACATGAGGCTCTTACAAATGTCAACTTGTCAAGGCTTACTGTACTTTTTTTTTTTTTATATGTAAAAAAAAAAGTCTTATCCTGGCTCCAAAACTGTTTGTTCAGTAGTCGTATTTTTATCAAATGTCTAATATTATATTACCCAGTTGTTTATGGGCAGATACATATGAACAAATGGTTAGGTACGGTGAAAATTCAGAACAGGTGTTTGCATGACTTAAAATTCTGATTAAAACATGCATATTAATTTACATGATGCTTACATAATCAGAATATGACCAAATTCTGATTAATATCAGTATTCTTAGGAGCCATGCACACAAAACCTGTTTTTACTGTTAAAATGCGAGATGCAGACCAGTGGAATGGAAAAAAACTACACAAGGTCTAGATGTGGGTTTTTTGAGTGCTTGAGCGCTGCATTTTTAACTTAAGACTGCAAAAAGAAGAGAACACAGCAGTCAGGCACATCCATCAAGTGCATGTTTTCATTAAAAAAACAAAACAATGAAAAGACATTCTATGGAAACAGCCCCTTATGCATGTAAACGTCGTTTTTTAAAAAGTATGTTACTGAACGTGAAATTGAGGAATGCTTTTCTCTTTTCTGTTAAATATTGGCATGTTCATTTTTAACTGTCAAAGTAGGTCTGGCATCTGAATTTTTAGACTTGGCCTTCTGTTGAAGTCAGCTTTCAGAATATTCTGTACAGTGGCCCCCAAAAAGATTTTAAGTGCTTAAGCCATACTTAAATATATGGCTTTCAATTTAAATTCTTTATCGTATCTTTACAATTCCTTTGGTGTTTAACATTGTCATGCTGTTCAAATGAGTATGTACTTCCCACATAGTTTTAATGTTCAGTGAAAGTCTTTATCTCTAGTAGATAAAGTAGATCTTAGTTCTGCAGGCTGTTGTTGATGACCGCACCCAACCAAGCGTTGCCTGGTTGTCTTCCCACATTGTACTGGTTTCCTCCTGATGTCACTGGCACTGCACTTGCTCTATGGCATCCTGGGCAGCAGGTGTGGGCGAAATGACTGAGGCTCAATTAAAGAACTTGTTCTCCGAAAGGGCTTGTTAAAATTAATGTTGGAGAGATTAAGCTACTATTTTTTTTTAATTGTTGAACGAGTCTAAACTGTTTTGTGTTTTCAACAACATGCCACAGATGCAGTCAGCAGTTGAATTTAACCTACAACATTCCATTAACTGTGTTTGATCTCTTTTATCTCCCTGATTTGATACAGAAAGAAATCAACGATGAGACTCGGCTGAAACTCTAGGCTTGAGGTGAACAGACTCTTGTGTGGTTGATGGTCCGACGTCAGATTCTTGATTTTTGCAGTACCCCTGCCTCTTGAGTTGAGTTCATCATGGGGGACGCCGACTCCACCAGTTCCATGCGTCTAAAGCAAGAGATCTCACTACTGCACGGTGTCTGCCTCATTGTGGGGAACATGATTGGCTCGGGCATCTTTGTTTCACCCATTGGTGTTCTTGAGAAAACAGGATCTTACGGTCTATCTCTGGTGGTTTGGGTTATTGGAGGAATCTTCTCTGTTTTTGGTGCCCTGTGCTACGCTGAGCTGGGCACAACCATTCGCAAGTCAGGAGCTAGTTATGCCTACATCCTGGAAACCTTTGGGGGCTTCGTTGCATTCATCCGTCTGTGGACCTCGCTGATGATCGTGGAACCAGCCTGCCAGGCAGTCATTGCTCTTACTTTTGCTAATTACCTAGTGAAACCGTTCTTCCCCACCTGCCCGGCACCAAATGCTGCAGTACGGCTCATTGCAGCTCTCATTATAGGTAAGAGCTCCTGCGCTCATCCATGCATGCTTTGATAAACTTACATGTAACAGCACTTGAAACTAGTGTAAATAATGGCACAATAAAGGCCGGCTTTCTCTGAGATTCACTACTGTTTACTGTTCACACAGCGCAGTGTGTATGAGATTACTCTGAAAAGAGTGCTTCATGTTAACGTATGTCAAAAATAAATCATACCAATTTATGCTGCCTGCTACCTTTATTTACATAATTCTTTTAGTTTGTATGGTTACCTTACAGCCCCTTTTTTTCCATTTCATACAAAATAGAAAATAGCCTACATGTATTGTAATATAGTAACTTCATATACACAACATTTCTGAATCCATATTGTTATTGTTAAAACAAAAACTATTAAAAATTGTTTTTATTCATTAAAATAAAATATTAGATGACAAACTTAAACTTACAAAACACAAATGAAAATTTGCTTTGGCAACTAACTGAAATACAATAAGTTCAAATATTAAAATAACTTAAAAAAATTTATTAAAGCAAAATAAAAAAATACTAAAAAATAAAAAAAGCATAAAATTAATAAAACAAACTCAATTTAAAATGAAAACTACAGATATGAAAATAAAGCTAATTCAAAATATTATTAGTACATTAATAATACTAAAATAACACTGATCTGAATGCTAGGAGAGTTTGCGTTTGTTTCAGCCCATTTCTCCCATAAACCCCGGGTGCTCATGGTGCATTTTTCTCTACAATGTTATTTCATTCATTTCCTTTTTTTATTTGTTCATTTTTGGGAGGAAATTTGTGTTTTCTTTTTTTCCCCCTTTTGATTTTCTTCATACTAAAACATCCTTGCAAATTGCAAAAAAAAAAAGCATATTTTATTTCCAGTGAGTTAAATCTGGGAACCTCCTTTTTCCTTTATCAGAAAGTGCAAATATACTTAGTTTCATTTTTGGGTGAACTAGCTCTGTGGTCTCAGCTGTTAGATTGTGTTGTTTCAATATTAAAGGCAGGGTAAGCGATTTCTGGTAGCCAATGTTGATATTTGAAATCATGTTGAAATTACACAGTCCAGCAGGTGAGTCTGCACTGCAGTGTGAATAAACTGTCATCACTTTGGCTAAAGTACGTTCATACGTTTTTGCGTAAACTTGTACTTTGTCCGTGTAATTTGTCAAAATCAAGTGAATACTGTCTCTACAATTTTGAAGCATGTGTTTTCTGTTAGTTCAGCTGTTAATTCCACTGCGGCTGCCAGGCTGTTCTCTCCATTCGTCTCAGTGTTAGTTGGCATTATTTAGGCATTTTATTTGTCAACCAAATACTTTCCATTTGGACTGGAGTTTGTAACCCTGCCAAGACTTCCACAAGACCTTTTTATGAAGTCATTGGTGACTGTTTCCACAGAGATCATGTGCAGTTTGTTTGAGTTTAAGGGAATTCTCAGGTATTTGTCACCTGTGGCATGTTTTGCTACTTACTGTGATGAAGTCCACTGAAGTACTTGTGAAACAAGCCTAAACCGAAAAGCTTATGCGTACATATATAACAGTGTAATTCTACAGGGTTTAATTTCCTTTTTGTGACAAATAGCACTTTATTTGGACTGTACAGTCTGTACAGTTTCATCAGAATGAGGTGGCATTTGAGCTGTGATTAAATCAGGTACAGAAATACCTCAATTAATCTCCTGGGTACCACAGTGCCGGGATGTCCAGTCATTATGGTATCTGCAGCTCTGAGAGACTGTTTCAAGGAGTGAATTACTGTCAGACTTGCTTTGTTGGTGAAATTAGATGCCAGGAGTGTCAGATGAATGGAGGAACTTGAATTACCAGTCTGTAAAACGGCAAAAGCAGAAGTTGAGGTGTTCTCTGTTCTGAAAAACCTCACCCACACCCTAATTTTATTGCCCTGGTCAACCTGTCAGTTGAACCTAAATGCTTAAAGGGGAACTTATGACACATTGGAAATTTACATTCATCTACAAGGAAATAGTAAAAGTAGTTATTATGGAACACAACTGCACAATGGAATTATTACACACATGATCAAAAGGAACATTAAGAAGTTCCAGTTTCAAACAGCAGTTGAAATATATTCGGTATATATTGTTTGGCTTTTATATGGCCATGTCTATCTCTGTTTGCTTTGCAGGTCTTCTCACCTTTGTGAACTGCATGAAGGTGAAATGGGGGGCCATTCTTCAGGTCATCTCCACTGTGGCTAAAGTCCTGGCTCTCATTGTCATTATCATTGCTGGAATGGTTGTGCTGGCCCAAGGTTTGAACATGCTGACACAAATGTTGTTTACTATATATACTATATACCATTATTACTGTTTAAAAGTTTGGGGTCAGTATTTATTTATTTATTCATTTTTGTAAAGAAATATTTTTATTCAGCAAAGACACATTTAATTGATCAGCGTGACAGTTAATTGTATCAATATATAATGTTTATATAATGCAAAAAAATTATATTTCAAATAAATGCTGTTGTTTTCTATTCATCAAAGAATCCTGAAAAAATACATCGCAGTTTCCAGACAAAAACATTAAGCAGCTCAAAACATTGATAATAATAAGAAATGTTTCTTGAGCAGCAAATCAGCATATTAGAATGATTTCTGAAGGATCATGTGACACTGAAGACTGGAGTTATGATGCTGACAATTCAGCTTTGCATCACAGGAATAAATTGTATTTTAAAATATATTAAAGTATAAAACAGTTTTTTTTTAAATTGTAATAATTTCACAATATTAGTGTTTTTGCTGTATTTGTGATCAAATAAATGCAGCCTTGGAATAAAAAAAAAATAAAAAAAACTCTTATCGACCCTATACTGTAGTGCTACACATTTATATTTTTGTGAGTCATTACTGTTTGTTTTTGATTTTTGACTGCATTTGCATTGCTGTGCCACAGGAAAAACAAACAACTTTAGGGATTCCTTTGAGAACTCTAAACTGGATCCAGGAAACATGGCCCTGGCTCTGTACGCCGCTCTGTACTCGTACTCAGGCTGGGACACCCTGAACTTCATCACAGAGGAGATTAAAAACCCAGAGAGGTACTGATACTCATACGATACAATACGATACACTTTATTGTCAGACTGAGTCTGAAATTTGTCTTACGTTACAGCAGGTTCACTCAAGTTTACAATACTTTATCACATAAACAACACAGAATGCAGAGCTTTCATACATACATAAAAAATAAAAAAAAAAGGACATTTACTTTTTATATGAGTTATTCAGCGCTAATACATCTTGATATACAAATGAATTCTTTAACTTAATTCGGCTGTATCTTGGGACCTTATATCGTCGATTAGATGGCAACAATACAAATTCATTATACAACACATGATTAGGTTCAGAAACAATGTTATTAGCTAATCTTACAAGATTATTATGGTAAGATAGTTCATATGCTTTTTGAAGTGGCTGACCCACAATTTTGGAGCAAATTTTTAGTAAGTTCATTAGCTTTGTTTTTAGACTAACAGATAGACTCATATACCAAACCGAATTACAGTACTGCAAGACACTCATGATTACAGACATAAAAACAATAAAATAATCTGCTTTCTTGCTCCAAATTAGGGCTGCACGATAAATCGCATGCGATATTTAATGCGCATCTTGTCAGTAAAGCTGGTTCTGTAATCAGCGGTAAATCTCCATCACGTGCGTGCTTTCACATGAAGCAGCATTTACTACACAGAGCCGTTGTTCACAGACAAGCTGCGCAAAACATGCACAAAATATGATCGTGGTTTTGCGCAGCTTGTCTGTGAACAACGGCTCTGTGTAGCTAATGCTGCTCCACGTGAAAGCACGCACGTGTAGAGATTTACCGCTGATTACAGAACCGACTTTACTGATGAGATGCGCATTAAATATCGTGCGATATTTATCGTGCAGCCCTACTCCAAATGACCTCAATCTATGGAGAAAGTAAATTCTTTGCATTGATTTTTTACAGATACTATCTATATGATCTCTATATGATCTCTATGAACACTTTACTCATGACATTTCACTTGATATAAAGACATGTTCCACTCATTGTGAGTAAGAATCAATAATAATAGAAGTATTTGTCATGTCCCAGCTTAATATGTGGAGACTCTAAGTAAGCCATATGTGGGTTGATTGCTCTGAAAAGTCTGAACACTGTGGCTCTATATTTCTTTCAAAATATTGCTCAGTTTGTTTGAGCAATTGACTCAAATTGGTTCAACCAATGCAGTCCTTTGTGGTGCAGAAATTGCACACTTCATCTTGAATGAGTGTCCAGCAGTTTTGCTGCAAATCAATCAGGAAGATCAAATATGTAAGCTAAATCTTTTTTTCTCTCTGCTACAGAAACCTGCCATTGTCTATAGCGATCTCCATGCCTATTGTCACAATAATCTACATCCTGACTAACATCGCCTATTATGCAGTGCTGGACATGAATACACTGCTACAGAGTGAAGCTGTGGCTGTGGTGAGTAAAACCTTCTTGGATATCTGTATATCCTGGATATCTGTATTATTTGCTCCAGATTTGATCATGTTTTCATCTCCTGTTACACTGATCTAGTTAAGCAGAGCAGCTTGAGGCAACGTCTTCTCTCTGGAGATGCTTGATAATGTTAGTCTACATCCACAGACATTCTGCTGCCTGTAATTATGCTAGTATGCTGCTCTGTGGAAGTTTTTTAATGGCCAACAAAATGTATTTTCTGTGTTTGATACACTGTTTGTTTTTGATGTGTCCAGTTCCATTTTTATACACAGAGACAACTGTACGTTCTTCAAAAACATTGCTCTGTTTGTTTGAGCATCTAACACACTTACATTAGTTTAACCAGGTGCATGATTAATCCGAAAAAAAACTAAATTTCAATATGGCTTAGTGAGGTTATCCAGTCGCAAAGGCTGCAAATTAAAGGAATATGTGCGTTGCATGTATCAAGAGTGAAGCGCAGCACTGTGTTTATTACTCTGAGCAGCGCAGAGTAGTTTTTTTTTCTTTTCTTTTTTTCTTCTGTGTTTCAGAACGATTCGGTTCACAATAAATGCTGCTCCACATGAACTCATCTCTTCATCTGCTCTGAGCCTGGTTCACTTATGCATTTGGGAACACAACATGCACTGATCATTTTCCTAAGCAATGTGAAGTGCTTATGAACCGGCTGCTGTCAACAGAAGGGAAGCTTTAAGGGCTCCCTACAATTTTCCACCAAAATACAAGTTTGATGGTTTAACAAAATTAAGATAGTTGTAAATATTAGTATTGTAATTTTACAGTTGCACTGTAAATATATATATATATATAATTATTTTTTATAATAGTTAAATAGTTTATTTGACAGTGAAATATTGCAGTAGTAATATTTAATTAGTTTAATATTTTAATTTAGAAATAATAATAATATTTATATTATTATTATTATTATTTAGTCATATTGATATATAATCACACATTTTTTGGCAATTAGATTTTTTCCACAGTTCATGCAGTCTTATCTGTGGTACTGACCAGTGACAGAAACATCTTTGAAAACAGTTATTATTTTTGGGGATATACAATGTATCTGTAGCATATGAGTTATCAAGATTTTTTTGTATTTATTTATCAGTATCTGTTAGTATTGTTTACTTGATTGTTCATGCTCATTTCCCTTATTTTACATTTTACATTACCTTTGCCATCATCTAACACTCACGTAAAGTTAATCTTTAAAAACACTAATAATTTAATAAAAACTGTTAAATTAAATCTTTAGCAAATCAAAAAAAAAAAATATATATATATATATATTTTCATAGTGTACATTATAATGTTGCGATGCCTAAATTCACTTGTAGCATTTAAAATGGCTCATTTTAGTGTTTAGCGTTCAATTTTTAATTATTTAGACAAACTAGTATAGGGTGTCAGGCATTTATTGATTATTGGTCATAATGAAAAATAAAAAACACTTTTGCTTTTGTATTTAATACAGACGTTTGCTGACTATGTGCTGGGATATGCTAGCTGGCTCATCCCGTTGTCTGTGGCCATCTCCTGTTACGGAGGTTTAAACTCCTCTATCATTGCCGCCTCCAGGTAAAGATCTTGTTCTGAGTCTTCTGTCGTTTCTGTAGTCGATGCAAGGTGGCAGGAACTCAGTTTCTTAGCCGAACCCCTTTTTTTTCCCTTTCAGGCTGTTCTTTGTGGGTTCGCGTGAGGGCCATTTACCCAACATCCTCTGTATGATCCACGTCAAATGCTACACACCAATCCCAGCCCTGCTGTTTAATGTGAGTAAGCAGGCTCAGACATACCTTGTGCTATGTAGAAAATCTTGAATATCCATTGCCGCCTCTAAAGATCTTGTTCTGAGTCTTCTGTCGTTTCTGTAGTCGATGCAAGGTGGCAGGAACTCAGTTTCTTAGCCGAACCCCTTTTTTTTCCTTTCAGGCTGTTCTTTGTGGGTTCGCGTGAGGGCCATTTACCCAACATCCTCTGTATGATCCATGTCAAATGCTACACACCAATCCCAGCCCTGCTGTTTAATGTGAGTAAGCAGGCTCAGACATACCTTGTGCTATGTAGAAAATCTTGAATATCCACATTATATACTAAAAGCAGGACACTTCATTCTGATCTGCTTTTTTCCCCTCCTCCTACAGGGTGGCATGTCACTCATATATCTCTGTGTGAAAGATGTGTTCCAGCTAATTAATTACTTTAGTTTTAATTACTGGCTGTTCATCGGCCTTTCTATAGGCAGTCAGATCTACCTGCGCATCAAGGCACCTGACCTGCCCCGTCCAGTTAAGGTAAGTCAATAGCTCTGTTACAAAACACAAGCTACTGTGCTACTAACCATTATAATTGAATGATTCTGAATTGTCTCCATGTACGCAAGTAGCACTCCTCTAGGGATGCAACGATTATAGATTTTGTTGGTACGATTATTGTCTGAGGAATAATCACGGTTTTACGATTAT